TCCCCTATCGGGTGGTTTGAGCCTGGAGAGGCCAAGTTATACGATACTGATTTGGTGAAGGATGCCTTGGAAAAGATAAAGATAATTCAAGAGAGACTTTGCACAGCACAGTCCAGATAGAAGTAGGCTCGAAACGAGGTAAGTCTCTTTTCTAACCTTGTAAGGGGAAAATTTCCCCATAGGTGAACTTAATTAATATATGATTAATTGTGGAGGCTACGTATGCACGAAGTGACGAGAGTCCGTACTTAGCCACTATTCTTGTTATGTCCGGGTAGTTCTAGGTTTACATCATACTTTGTGGATACTATTATTTGCTTATATACGCTAATTGTATGAAAGTAATTAAGTTGAAGAAAATCTAAGGATTTATATCTTTCAAGTGAATTGTATTCATTTTTTTTAAAGGAATTAAAGAAGTGTTGCATTTTAAATGATAAAAATTATGTTTGACCGTGTCGCACGTATGATTCGTGAGCGGGGTTATGCTTTTACCGCGTTGCATGTATGATTCGCGAGCGGGGTGAATAAATGCATCTATGTTTCATGATGTTCGACCCTTGGCAGTGCACATTTTACTTTTATGTTGGATCGGGCCAAACGTCCTCGGTGGTAATTGTGTGTGAAAATAGTATAGGAACTCTTTGTAGTTGTATGTTTCATTACTTGATATACTACTTGTTTTAAATAAAGAATGTGTCTTGCCTTCTTAAGTGTGGTGGAGGAAATTCCTCAGTTATTGTTCTGGTTTGAGCTTGACTGTTACTTACATACATTATGCTTTAAGAATTGGAACTACACATTATTACATTGTTGGCCCAAGTAAGTATCGGAGTCGACCCCTCGTCACTACTTCTACGAGGTTAGGCGAGATACTTACTGTGTACATATTTTTATGTACTCATGCTACACTTCTGTACTTGATTGTACAGGCTTTGAGGCAGGTGCATCTGGCCATCAGTCCGGCGCATAGAGTGGACTCCTCAGCTCGAGACTTTCCGGTGAGCTGCCCTTTTGAGCCGATCTGCAGCAGTTGGAGTCTCTCTTTTATTTTTATGTTCCTGTCTATTTCTTTTCCAGACAGTAGGATAGTATGATTTTGTATATTCTACTAGAATGCCCACACACTTGTGACACCAGGTCTTTGCACACACATTGATAGACTTATGATGTTTTGGCTTGTTTTCATGATTTAAATTCGCATTTATTACTTCCATTTAAATATGCTTAAATTTTCAAACTCTGAATTTCTTAATCAATAATGGAAAGTTATCACGTACTAACTATTCAAATGAGAATTACCATTTGATTAGTGTTGGCTTGCCTAACAACGGTGTTGGGCGCCATCACGGCCTTATATGGAATTTGGGTCATGACAGACCTGATAAAGCCAAATTGGACAAAATCACTCAAACTACCGAGAGGTATAGAGTGGGTAATTGCGTGTGATTGCTATATCACAACCCCGGCTAATCAAACTTGCCCTAGAGTTTACAACCCGTTAGGTAACCACCTAGGTGGAATTCACGACTCTAGATCCCTTATCATTTGAAAAAACAACCAAAATCAAAAATATTGTCTCCTAGTTTTATAATTGCAATCAATAGCATAAAGTAGAAATAGAAACAACAAACAAGAATGTGAAAGTGCAATTTGCGGCTCATTGTACAATTATACTAAATAAATACCTAATCCTAATTCTAACTCCCTGACGATTCGATCTCGACTCGCTACCTATAATTGTGGTGTGATTTTGGGGGACATCACCCTCGTTGACCCTTCGCCCCCTGCTACCTCGCCGTCGACCTCTACTCGTTGCCTTTTTAACGGAACCGCTTCCTTATCGCTCGATGACGACTTATCCACCAAATGCAGTAAAGAAGAAGTCGGAGTCCCCGTTGATGGGCCAGCTGCCCGATGACCAGGCTGGCGCGGAGCTGGGACCTTAGAAGAAACAGCAGTCTGTGCGGACTCGCTTACAGTCACAGCGGCCCAAGACCCGATCGAGGTACCCAATTGACGAAAAACGGGGGTGGGAGCCGTTGTTTTTTTCGGAACCCTTCAACCTAACAGTAAGGAAAAAGTGCGTAAGTGAAAAAGAAAAACGATATCAAGGTCGAAGCGACTAAAGATCGGATGACTCACTGGTCGAAGAAGGTTTACGCCCAAACTTCTTGTTGAACAATGACCACTCACGGATCCCCACCATGTGGGGTAAAATTTGAGCCACCCAGTCGCGAATATCAGCGACCAACATAGGACGCGCCTTCTCGGCTGCACCACAAAAGAATAATTAAGTCACAAAAGGGAGACAGCAAACTACAAGTTAGCAAAAGTACTTACGGGCGAAGTTCCACTCCTCGGGGAATCCACTAGGGTTCGCCACCACATGCTCGGTTTTGACGTAGAAAAAGTTGACCCAAAATCTACGATTGGTCTTATCATCCATTTCTACCACCAGTCCCTTAGACCCACGATGGAGAAGATGTATCATCGTGCCCCGACGAAAGCTTGGTGCAAAAAGATATAGCAAATGGCGAAGAGAAATTCCACGGTTGGCCAACTCCACGTACTTTATCAGCATAATGAAAAGTTTATAAATATAGGGAGAGAGCTGGGCAGGACAGATGTTGTAATAGCGGCAAAATTCCTCCGTTAATGGAGGAAGAGGAAGAGAATAACTCTCTTAAAATGGGTACGCGTAAAAAGCGCAATACCCAGGATGATGAATATGGATCACATTGTTCCCAGCTGGGATCAGGTCGATGTGAGCTGTGATATCGTACTTGGCCCTAAGCGTGGCAAGATGGGCCACTCCCATTTCGGACTTTACAGGCTCGGGCTCATCCGCATGTGACTTCGAAAAATCCAACCTGGCCCTGTCGTTACGAGGAACGATCTCCTCCACTGTGGGAAAGTTATCATCCTCTATAACAATAGCCTCCCCTTCATCACGAGCGGGCATGGCCACTGACAAAGGGTTCGGGCTAAGAATACCCTCGGAATTGGAGGATGCACTAGACATTCTTATGATTGTATAAAGTGAAAGGATCGGAAGTGAAGAAGTAGCAATGGCGAAAGTTGCAGAAGGTGGAAGCTCAGAAAGAACAAGAGAGGAAGATATGCAGGTTCTAGAGACTGAAAGGTATAAAGTTTCGTTCAAATGGTTCCCTGCTTTATTTATAGGAAACTCCGGCACACGAATCGAGAAAAGTAATCGTCGAACACGCTGAGATCGAAACGGTAGGGGCACAGGAAACAATGCAACGCATCGGGAATGCGTGTAATTATGACACATAAGGCTATGACGTTATTCTGAACCAGCATCATTAAGCACAGCTCTCAAAGCGTCACGTCACCCTCTCGGCCACAACTACCACTACTCGACCTCCCCATCCAAATTTCTCAAGACTGCGGCTTGTGAAGTCCACTCATCAAGGCCGATCAGAAGACGACCTCGATAAGCGGAAGGACTAACTGTATGGGCTAAAATTCGACCAAGGAAATTTGGTATGAAGAAGTGACTATCATGACGATGGTAACTCATTATAGGTGGTCTTGTAGAGTTCGAACAGTGGTTAATAAGAATGAGCTGCCGTGTGGCTTTTCTGGGCCGAAGTTGAGTAGCGGGAACGAAAATAACGGCTAGTATAGCCTTGGGACTTTCAAAAGGAATATTCCCTTCTTTACAGTACTTTTAGGGTTTTTTCTAGGAATATCCCACAGAGAGAGAGATATAGTAAGAGAAATAGAGAGATGGGGGAGGGAACATTTTATAAAAGGATAAGCACTCAGAAAATACAAAGGAGCACTTTTGGTAGAGATTTCATCTTTTTGTGAACTATTCTATTGTCATTTCCATCAAATCCAAGAAAGTGTGCAATATTCTCTAACACTCGTGTCATTCATCATTGTCAGAGGAAAGAATCCTTCACCCTCTTCAATATTGGATGAATCTTCCCCTCTATTTATATTTATTGCCATTTAATGTTATTTAATGCATGTTTTTTCTACATATTATTGCATCCAGTCATAATCATTGCCAACATTTACGTTCAACTACATCTTCCATTCACATTATCTATCTTAGATCTAGAGTTAATTATCCTTAACTAGGATTTACCCGCCATCTTTTTATTAAATTGGTTTAATAAAAAGGTGTTATACTTTTTGATCAAACAAAAATAAGGATCAATATAGTTTAATGGGCGGCATGGATATATGTGAATGGAAAGTATAGTGAAAATAACACGAGCTAGTCAGTTTTTGGACTGGTAATTAAAAAATAGCTAGTGTTTGCAAAGTCATTGGAAAATAGCCACTATTTTGGTGAAACACGAAAAGTTCCAGCATAATATGTGGGATTATGGAGCTCATGTGTATAAACTTCCAGCATATTATGTTGGAACTTCATGATATGTTTGATTATAGAGCTCCTGCGTATAAACTTTTAGCATTTTTGTTGGAGCTCCAGTATACAGTGGTGGACCCAGGATTTTGTGCAAGCGGGTTTAATCTTAGAAGTACATAAATTTAGTCGTAAAATAGTAGTTGTCAAGCGGGTTCAAATAAAATATTTATGCAAAATTTACGCTGCTTTAATCGTAACTTATACATATACACAGTATTATTTTTTGGTGAAGCGGGTTCAGTTGAACCCGCTTGCCACCACGTGCGTCCGCCACTGCCACTACATTATGCTGGAATCTCATATGTAAAAAATTCGAATCCAATTATATTATGCTTGAATTTTTTCGGATTTTTAATGATGTTTTTGTTCAGATTTTATCTTTACATAAAAAAACTGCTAAATTTTGATTACTTTTTGAAACAGTAAATATTTTTTAATTACCACTTATAAATCTAATTATTTCTGATTTTTTTTCCGGTAAGTTTAAAAAAAAAAGGCAGAGATATGATTGAATAATAAACAAAATTATAGAGGTATATTTGGCCCTTTTTCGTTTTCTTTTTTCAATTCTTTTCAGCTAAATCTTTCCTTTTTTAGTACTACTTCTTACACAATGATCAAATCCCAAAATGGAAACCCAAAAACACAATCCACAAAAAGCCGCCATCAATTCACGTGTTGTTCTTTGCACCATAAACACAGTAGTGTAGGATTAACTGTAAATTCAAGCTGAGCTCCACTCAACTTCCTTCACTAATCCCCTAAATTTTGGATTGATGCAGCAATCTTTGCTTGTTTCAGTTCGGGGTCAGTTCCATTTTATCTCAATTTCCATTTATTTTCCTGTCTTTTTTTTGGGGTATGTTTGATTTGTATGAAAAAAAGAACTAATTTTTTAATGGTTCTTGAAAATATAAATTCAAGGTTTGGAGTTGTAGCACTTGATTTGTTGAACCTATGGTAGTTTAATTGTGGGTTTTTGTTCTTGCGCATTGTGATAGTTGAATTTTAGGTTTTTGGTTTTTGCACCTGATGTGTTCTTGAGCCGAGGGTGTAAAGCCTCTCTAACTTCTCGAGATAGGGTAAGGTCTGCGTACACACTATACTCCCCGGACCCTACTGGTGGGGTTACACCGAGTTTATCTCTGGCAATTTATGGTTATCTGTTTGATTTTAAAAAGAATTGTAAACTTGGGAAATGATTGATGTTTTCTCAATGTTCTTTTTTTTCTGGAACTTGGAATGGATAAGCGGCTGATACGATTGGAAACTCTAGCATTTGATTTTGCAGAGACAACATAGAACAGTGGAGATGCTTTGCTAAATTGTCTTTTAACTTATGGAAGATTGGAATCTAATTCTGCTGTCTTAGGCCTTTGATTTGTCCTCCTTAACTAGTATCTTGGGAATTTGATATGGCAGGGCTAGACATCGATCGCACTGAAAAATGTGTGTACCTAAACTATTTTGTGTAATATATAACGTATTATTTTTATAACAGTGGTGCCTGGGCTAGCTTGCGCCAGTACTTGCTATCTTCCGCACGGTAACTCTGCCCACCAAGGCTTAGATAGATAGGAAGAAATCACTTAGTGATTCTTGTCTATGCTGGGACTTGAACCTTGGTCTCCAAGGTTTGCACCCATTGTGTGCTTGTATAATTTGTCCCTATGTAAATTGGAAACAGGAAAATATGGAATGAATGAGTTAATATGCAAATTGGACAAGGAAGATATGGACTTTATGGATTAATATGCAAATTGGAAAAGGAGGATATGGACTTTATGGGTAATATGCAAATTGGAAAAGGAAGATAGCAAGAAAAAAAAGGTAAAAGAAAAGGAAGATCAGTAGCGGAGCCAGGATTTTTATTAAGGGGTGTCAAAATTTTAAAAATTAAATGCACGAAAAAGTCAAGGGGATTCAATACATAACATATCTACATAAAAAATAATTTTTTCCTATCTAAACAGTATAATTTTCAGGCGAACCCCTTGAAGCTATGTGGCTCCGCCATTGTGGAAGATAGTGATTCTATGGGTGTAGAAACGGGAAGCTGCAGAGCTCAAATGTGGTTACTTGACATTCTGTAGAAACTAAAGTCAAGTTAACAGCCTTAAGACTGTTGTGTATCTTTTTCCTCTCTGATCTAGTTAATCTTGAATCGTCAAAATGCCATGTCATTAATACTAGAGTATTTTATGTGCAATCCAACCATTTGGTTTTTGCTTATTTTTCCTTTTATTTATAAGGGGAATAGAAAGTGCTCCTTAGGTCTGCAAGGTAGCACTACCTTGAATGATTGATGCATCACATTGGTTAATAGTTGGTAAACTGTGCAACTTCAAACAATTACCACTAGTCGTAGTTTGAAGGCGCAAATGTGATGCCCGTTTGAGGACCTTCTCTTTATTCTGCGCATTGTGTTTCCTGGTAGAAAGTTTCAAACGTCTACAACTTGTGACAATGTACACATAACTCTGAATCTCAAAGTCTGAGCTACCTATATAAGGATACACTAAGAGCACATATTGAGTTTCATATTCTGGCAGTGGTTACTGGTTAGGCACCTTATTTTAGTTTTAGCTCGAGTCTCGAGATTGCTGATTGCTATATGATGTTGACTACATTTGTCTTTAATTGATCTTCTATTTATTTATTTCAAATCCTTAATTGTTAAGTGGTTATTTACTTGTAAATCCTCACTTCAGAGAAGACCACCAGTAGAAATAGCGATTACGCATTGGTCATAAGCTAACTATACACTTTCCAAAGAAACAAAAGAAGTTCAGAACTAAGGTGCTTGACCCCAATGGTGAGGCCTAGTGGTCAATGAAGTGGGTGAGAACCATGAGGTTTCAAGTTCAAATTTCAGCGGAGACAAAAAACACTAGGTGGTTTCTTCTCATCTATTCAAGCCTTGGTGGATAGAGTTACTTGGTACCTGTTGTTGGTGGGAGGTAGCAGGTATCCCTTGGAATTAGTCGAGGTGCGCGCAAGCTGGCCTGAACACCACGGTTATCAAAAAAACCTAAGGTGCTTGAAGGTTCAAGCTTGTTTACTGCACCTTTTGTTAGCGTTGTGTGATCCTATAGTTGCTGTACTCCATGTTTCTGTTTCTCTTTATACTGAATGCTACTTGTGTTCATTTTCTCATTCAATCTTCTAATCAAATGTCTTTCCTCGTGCCATCTTTGAGTATTGATATTTCTCTATGATGGTTGGCTTCTTGTAGAGGAAATAATGGATGAGGCACCACCAAAGTCATTACGGCAAATAATGTCAGCCTATTGGACAATGGCGTGTGAAATGTATTACAGCAAACCAATTTCACACTGGATTCTTTTGTTTCTAGGTAGCATGGGGATGCTTGTTGCGTTCCCTGCTTCTAGCCTCTTGTCCCGTATATATTTTGCAAATGGTGGGAAGAGTAAGTGGATAATTTCATGGGTTTCAGTTGCAGGATGGCCTCTCATCGCAATAGTCCTAATTCCTTCGTACTTCTTTCTTAAAGTATTCCCGACGCCACTTGACTTAAAACTAACTTTATCTTATGTTGTATTGGGATTCTTGAGTGCTGCTGATAACCTCATGTATGCATATGCTTATGCTTACCTCCCAGCATCAACTGCTGCTCTTTTGGCCTCGACTTCACTGGTTTTTTCTGCACTGTTTGGATATCTCCTCGTGAAAAACACTATGAATCTATCAATTATAAATTCTATTGTGATCATTACTGCTGCCATGACGATCATTGCTCTTGATTCTAGTTCAGACAGGTATGGATATATCACCGACCATCAATACATCATAGGTTTTGTGTGGGATATACTAGGATCTGCACTCCATGGTCTAATTTTTGCCTTGTCAGAGTTGGTTTTCGTGAAATTACTTGGTAAAAGATCGTTTCTTGTTGTTCTGGAGCAGCAACTCATGGTTTCCCTCTTCGCCTTTATATTTACAACAATTGGACTTGTTATAAGTAACGGTTTCCATGGAATGAAATCTGAGGCAACTACATTCGATGGTGGGGCCAACGCATATTACTCGGTTATTGTTTGGGGAATAATAACTTTTCAGTTGGGTGTCTTGGGAGCCACTGCAGTTGTTTTCCTCTCCTCTACTGTTTTGGCCGGTGTCCTTAACGCGGTAAGAGTACCAGTTACGAGCATTGCAGCTGTTATATTGTTGCATGATCCTATGAGTGGTTTCAAGATTCTGTCTTTGATTATTACATTCTGGGGATTTGGCTCTTATATTTACGGCAGCTATAGCCCTGCGAAAAAGGATGCCCCGCAAACTATTTCTTAGTTTTCGTGTTTTTTTCACGTTATTTCATCCTTCTCACCATTGATAAGGTTGGATATCACAAAGTGTATGTATATGTTTTACTGGCTAAATTATACATATTTGCTGCTTAGTTGAATAGAACAACTATTACTGCAATTGCAGGGAAAAGTAATGAAGTTGAAACTATATAGTAATGTATTTACTTTCTTGTGGAATCTGTAGTAAAATGTTTAAGTTCTCTCTTATCATTTCATTGGCTGAAAATGCTAGTTATGAGAAAATAATAATAGGAAGGCTTTTCCTATTTAATTTTTTGAGCGTTAGAAGTTGAGCAGATGTGACAAGCCTTGGTGGACGGAGTGATCGGATACGGTGAGGTAGCGGAAGTTAGTCGAATAGTCGAGGTACATGCAAGTTGTATCAGCATTGTATTTTAAAAAAAGGTTGAACATATGAGATAAATCATTATTTGAACCAAGCCTCGGTGGACGGAGAGATCAGATACCTGTGTTGGTGAGGTAGCGGAAGTTAGTCGAATAGTCGAGGTATATGCAAGTTGCATCAGCATTGTATATAAAAAAGTTGAATATGCACGTTGATAATTCAGTATTTGAACCAAGCCTCGGTGAACAGAGTGATCAGATAGATACCTGTGTTGGTGAGGTAGCGGTAGTTAGTCGAATAGTTAAAGTACATGCAAGTTGCATCAGCATTGTTATTAAAAAAAAAAAAGGTTGAACACATGAGATAAATCATTATTTGAACCAAGGTCCAATAAGGTGTGCACTTTCTCATCGCATATTATGCGCAAGGGAAAAGAAAAAGGAAATTCCGTTGCCGGGACTTGAACCCGGGTCTCTCGGGTGAGAGCCGAGTATCCTAACCACCTAGACTACAACGGATTGTTGTTAACGTTTACACTGTAAATATATTATAATAAAAAATGTAAAGATAACTCAAATACTTATTTATCTAGTACATCCAGCTATTTTTCTAGTTGAAAAAATTCTTTTCAGGAACAATTCCCTACATGAATTTCATTTAAGAACCGTTACTTTTAAGTCTAAAGATCAATTTACCAGCTTATTAGCTTAATAAAACAATATGTTCAGTTAGAAAAAGATATCAAGAATTTTAGAGTAAAAATTGTGTGGGGTAGCCACTTTTTAAAGTAGTATTTACTTTTTATCCAGCATTTTTAATGCTTAGCAATAGTAGCCACTAGTCTATTAAAATTAATATGAAAAAATTGTGTTACCCTTTCTTCTATCTCTTTCATGTGTTAGGGAGAAGAACTGTTGTGAGATGGAAGGATTTTCCGGTGGGACTGCCGTGGACTCAACGTTTTTGAAACCTTTGAAAGATGTTGACATAATAATTTACATAATCATGAAAAGTAAGAATGTTCAGTAATTAAATACTAATCAATTAAAAAAAAGTTAATTAGATAAACTTGTGGGACAATGGTAACCCAAAGTTGTGGTGCATATATACAGTAGGAGTTCATTAGCTGGATGAGATTATTTTATTGATAAAAGCTGCAGCTACACTTGTAGAGGAGGGACCAACCCATACCAAAGTTCTTAAAAGACTTCCCACTTAGCACGTAAACACAGAGAAAGGACTTTAACATACATTTATGGATCCTGAACTTACAGTTATAAGTTCAAAAGTTAAGGATACTTGGTCCTGAACTTAGAGTTACAAGTTCAAAAGTTAAGGACACTTGGTCCTGAACTTAGAGTTACAAGTTCAAAAGTTAAGGACACTTGGTCCTGAACTTAGACTAACAAGCTCAAAAGTTAAGGACAATAAGTCCTGAACTTATAGTTACAAGTTCAAAAGTTAAGGACAATAGGTCCTGAAGTCCTGACTTAGACTAATAAGCTCAAAAGTTAAGGACAATAAGTCCTGAACTTAGGCTAAGAAGCTCAAAAGTTAAGGACAATAGTAGGGGTGTGCATTCGAATCGGTTTATCGATAAATCGAATCGATTATTTGTTATCGGTTTATCGATTTATCGATTTCGATTTCGACTTCGAAATTTTCCTTATCGAGTTATCGATTTCGATTTCGATTTTGTCCTCTTCGGTTATCGGTTTATCAATAAACCGATAAGATATACTAAAAAGACAATTTTTTTTATTTTTTTTAACCCTTATTCTATAATACCCTTTCCTTTACCCTAAGTCCATAACCCTATTATTTCCTCTACCACATTTAAGGAGTGATCATATTTAAAGCTCAAGGGAATGAAGTTCAAATTAATGGAAAACAAAATTAGCCGTGATGATGTATTTTTTTTATACCGTTGGAGTGTTGGTGGCATACATTTGATCCCTTACTTTAGTTTCGTTGCATGTGCTTGTTGACACAATTTTGTGTTATAAACGGTGTTCGTCTTATTTTAGCTTCTTTTTGTCCATATTAGTTAGGTGTGTTTATAGCGATATACTTTCCGTGGAATCCCGCAAATTTTCTTATTGGTGTAATCGATAACCGAATCGATAAGCCCCAAAAATCGATAAATCGAAATCGAAAAAATCGAAACCTTATTGAAACGATAACGATAAGCATATGTACAAAACGATAATCGATAAGGGTCAAAATTGAATCGATAAATCGAATGCACACCCCTAGACAATAGGTCCTGAACTTAGACTAACAAGCTCAAAAGTTAAGGACAATAGGTCCTGAACTTAGACTAACAAGCTCAAAAGTTAAGGACAATAGGTTCTGAAGTCCTGAACTTAGACTAACAAGCTCAAAAGTTAAGGACAATAGGTCCTGAAGTCCTGAACTTAGACTAACAAGCTCAAAAGTTAAGGACATTAGGTCCTGAACTTAGGCTAAGAAGCCCAAAAGTTAAGGACAATAGGTCCTGAACTTAGACTAACAAGCTCAAAAGTTACGGACACTTGGTCCTGAACTTAGAGTTACAAGTTCATAGGGATGGCAATTGGGGCAGGGCGGGGCGGGGCGGGGCAGCGCAAACCTTGACCCGCTAAAATTTTGACCCGCCCTGCCCTGTCCCGTTTAGCCTTTTTTCAAAATTTTGACCTGCCCCGCCCTGCCCCGTTTAGTTATTTTCATCTTTTTTAATCTTTATTTTTCATTTTTCTTTATGTTACTTAATCTTATTTTGTTTTACTTTTTCAATATTTATTGAAACATTTAAAGTCGATGTGTCAATAAGAGGTGTATCAGTTGAAGAAAGTATGGCTTTTATTAACAAAATTTATACGTATTTGTTTGAAATAAAAAAGATGGTAAGCCATTTGTCTATACTCTATAGTATAACTTCTTTTTTAATATATCTAAACAATTTAGTGTTCTAGCTACCTTAGTCACAAAATACACCTAGAGGGAACAACACAGTTAAGCGGTGATAATTCGAATAGTAATAATATACATATTATATATAGTTTAATCTTTTTTATGATGATGCTATTATCTAATTAAATTTTAAAGTATGTAAGAAGTAAAACCTTAATCACACATCATTAGAGGTGTTAATTAAAATCCCAAAGGTAAGGAAAATTGCATAACAAATCAAAACCAAAAAGAAAGAAGAAAAAAGATTTAGTGGGTAAGTTGAGTTGTTGATATGAAATTTAACGAGTTCAAAAAAAATAATTATCATATACTATGTAAAAGTAACATGTAACAGTAGTCAATTGTGTTTAATAAGCGTAATTTGTGGTAAGAAAATGAGAAGAATGGTGTGGTAGTAGTTACAGAATACTAAATGTTAAGTAGTAGTAGCATTCAGCTTTAGGATAAAAGGCTGACTTACCACCTGCCCTGCCCTATTAAAAAATTTCAGAAACTAAGTTTTGTCTTGCCCTGCCCCGACCTATTTAACTGTTCCCCTGCCCTGCCCCATTAAGTGTTTGCCCTGCCCCGTCCCGCCCCGTCCCGCCCCAATTGCCATCCCTACAAGTTCAAAAGTTAAGGACACTTGGTCCTGAACTTAGACTAACAACCTCAAAAGTTAAGGACAATAGGTCCTGAACTTAGACTTACAAGTTCAAAAGTTAAGGACAAGTAGTCCTTAACTTAGAGTTACAAGCACAGAAATTAAGGACATGTGGTCCTGAGCTTCGAGTTTCAAGTTCAAAAGTTAAGAACATGTAGTCCTGAAGTCATGAACTTAGAGTTACAAGTTCAAAAGTTAAGGACATGTAGTCCTGAAGTCTTGAACTTAGAGTTACAAGTTCAAAAGTTAAGCACACTTGGTCCTGAACTTTATGAGCAGAAGGGTGTTTTCGTCTGGGCAGGTAAAGTTTATTAAACAGTGCCTTAAAAGTAAATACATGTATTATTAGTGGCTAACCGTACACTTATCCCAGTTTTAGACGAGTGAGTTGATATAGAAAACCTTGTTTGAACCCACTACCCAGTTCAGTATATGAGATTTTACACAAATAGCCGAACGGATTCATTATTTACTTTTTCTAGCTGACATACATAAATTATACGATGGTTATACATAGTTACATATATTACATATTGATTAAGCATATATAATACATCCATCAATTATGTTTAGTTCAAGTAGTTAGGTGAGCGACTATTTGGGTTAATTCTTCATTTGGAAAGTCACTCAGCGAAAATTAAAATAGCAGAGGGAAGAGAAAGAAAAAGAAAAAAAGGTAGAGGAGGGGGGGGGAGGGGGGGGGGGGTGAAGGAGTTTTGTTTTAATATATAACACACTCCATATAGACAATTTGATTCACCTTAGAAGTCGAAATAGTGAGATCACAGATGGGAGATACAAACAAACTGCAGCAAACATTACAAAGTGTTCAATTTTTCAAAGGACAACATCTTAAAAGCCAAACAAAGGTTTAGATGGACATGGAATCTCATTTGAGAAGTGTCTTGACAATGGACTTCACATTCAGCTTCTTCAAATCTGTATATGACTGTCCACATCCCACAAACATGACCGGGGCTCCGGATATGTAAACCATGGATAACGCTGCACCCACCTATGACCGAAACAAAAGGAATATAAGATTATTATCGTATAGTAGGAAAAAGAATGGTGCAACGAATTTGTAATGAAGGAAGACATCAAAACATATTTACAATGGAATCAACCGAGATCATGTACCTTGTCATCGATAGTGTCAAACTTGGTCAGCAAAATTCCATCAATTAACCTTGGATTTGGTGAAGGTGAGAGGTCACCTAATTTCTGCA